ATATGAATATTACCAAAAACATCCTAAGATATCTTCAAAGAATTAATAAAATATTATATTAGAATAAATAAAAATAAAACATTAGTCCAAGATTACAGGTGCTTTGGAGGACCTTATTTTGGACTTTAGTCATCTGATCTTGGGTGTCCTGTTTATCCAAATCAGTCTTAAAGATGTAATGGTTAACACAGGCAACTGTAGTTACAGCATGGCTCGTAACAGACCCTAGATCCACTCAAGACAGGGTGGTACAAAATACATATATGTAACACAAATCTTAAGAGGCCTTATAATAAAAAACCCAGAGACACATATTGGGGTAAAAGCTGAAAGATCAAAGAGGCAGAGCAGCAAGCCATTAGGTTTTACCTCTACAAAATCCTCTGCTGAAAGAGAGCGAGCGAGCACCTCTCTCCACCTCACCTTATCACTTCCTCCCTCTGCCCAGCCTGACCACTTCCTGTCTGTCTATACAGACCTCCAGACCACTATTGGTTAGCTAGTGGCTAGCTCCTCCTTCTGATTTTCAGGCAAGCTTTATTGGGGGTACACAATATATCACCACACATAGGCATCCAAACTTTAGACACAAACTCCACTGAATATGGACCAAAATGCCATGGTCACATCTTACACCGTCCATATTAGATAGCTTATGTTTAGGGTTTTTTCCTACTGCTGTATGGCAATATGAAGGCTTGATCCTCGACTGAAATGCACACATATATTGAAAATTACTGTGAGTCCTTCATCACCATTGAGCTAAGACCTGCAGAGCTGTGGAGAGGAAAAGAAACTGATAGACACTCTGGGAAGTAGAGAGACTTTGTTCAGCTTGATTCAGTTGCCTCAGGCATGGAGTATTTGGTAGCTTCAACCAAAACAGCTACCTACTAAGGAAATAAACAGAGCAGCTCTGATGATGCACCTCCTCTATCCTATGTAAACTAATTTGAAAAATGATTCTCAAATGGTCTTCTAGTATATAGAGATAGGCTCCTAGGGAACACATTTTTTGTTCTGGTGCTATTTCTATTTTTCTTTCCCCATCCAGCTCTCTATCCTTTTTTGCTCATTGTCACCAATTAGACACAGTTTTCACCAACATATTTTTCTAGCAAGTCCTTTTTCTCTTGAATACAACAACAAATGGAAGTCCTACCTCAGGTGACCTTTTTGTTCCTATATTCTGGCTTTAAGCTAGACATTCAGTAGAGGCAGGCATCCACTGTAGGGGCAGATACAAGATTATCTGTATATTTCTCCAGGATGGTAATAATGAGAATTCTCACAAGGGGATTTGGCCATCAGAGTCCTTAGTGTACTATTCAGATATATATATATATATTCTCAGTTTGCTCAGGCAGGTTAGTACTTATAATGCCTTCATTGCTTGGTTTGGGAGCCCATCTCGCTGAGACACCATTAAGATATAACACAATAATATGGCACAAATATATTACGCAAGATGACTTTTAACAATAGGTAGCCAAAACTGTCATCTTCTTCTTAAAATTATATGTAAACCTTTTAACTTATTTTTATGTGCATTATTACTGGCAATTATATGATTACAACTATAGTGAGCATTCCAAATTCATGATCTCACGGATACAATTGCTTAGAAAGAGGCTTAAGTACAATTAAGAAGCAAGGGCTAGAGAGGAGGCTCAAGGCTTAAAATCACAGAGTGCTTTTCCAGAGGACTGGAGTGCAGTCGTTAGCACCCATGGCAAGTGTTTACAACCACCTGTGACTCTAGCTCCAGGGCACCTGACAACCTCTTCTGGACTCCCTTGGCACGGCACTCACAACTCACATGTACACAACACCCCCCACACTCATATATACATAATTAAAAATATATATTTTTAAAATCAAGACGCATACAAAAACCATATAAATGTGGTGTGTGTGTGTGTGTGTGTGTGTGTGTGTGTGTGTGTGTATGTGTGTGTGTTGTAATTATGACAGATAAGCAAGGTAGTGTCTTCATCGTTTATGGGACTCAGCAAAAACAGAAGAAATTAATCATCTGAAGACTTTATGGGAGCTGAACAAAAGTATCATTACTCTTCTCCGGACTCCCAAGTTTCCTTACATACAAACTTTTATAAATGGTTGCTGGTGTTTTCCCACCACCAGGCACTGTTCTAGGGTGTAATGGTACAGCAACAAACAGAAGAAAGTCCCTCCCTCTTGGGCCCACATTCAGATGGAGGAGCAAATATAAACCCACAAAACAGCTGGACATATCTGATGTGATGGTGTCCAAAGAAAGCTTTAGAAATCTGTAAACCCTCTAACAATGTCTGGTATTGTTCAAATGAGATGCCAGAAATGAATGAGGACTTAATTGGAGACAATCTAAAAAATGCCTGGAATCATGGGATATTCCCTACAAGCCTTTGGTCAGGGAGGCCACAAAGGTCTCCAAAACAACACCAACTATCGCCATTGCTCTTAGTTACCCACCATAACTATGTGGGAAGTCCCTATTGCTGAAGACATCACATACTTAGGCCACAGTGCATAGAAAAATTGATCTCAAATGTACCAGAAAATTTCCTCTCTCCTGACTAGCTTTCATAGTACCAAAAGATGCTATGTAAGGTGCTGGGGGAGAAAATATATAAATGATCTTACACAGCATTGGACCCTGCATGTTATAATAGCAACCTTCCAGGCAAGATGTGCCCACTGGTCCAATGGTAGCATGATTGTTAGTGGGGTAACCAATCACTTTCTGATTAGATTTGATTCCTATTGCATGGGAAGGTTTCATGTCTGGTACTGTAAATAGGGTCAAAAGTCTATGCTAGGGAGGTCACAGACCCTAGGTGGGAAACTATCGCCATTATTTTTTAAATGTTTATGGTATCAAACTGCCTTCTAAATATTTATATTTATACTCACAGACTTAGTATCCTCTCAACCTTGATCAGAGAAACTCCTTTTTATGGTGGCCAGAAGCCAATACAAAGAGTCATAACTGGTCAAAATGCTGAGATAAATGCTTATGGGTGCACAGCCCAAATTGGTACATCTTTATCAACCCCCTCCCAGGCTCAAGGAATAATAGCCTTTTAAGTGGAAAAGAATGTAAGAGGCTGGGAAGAGGTGCTATGAAATTCTGTCTTCTAGACATGGCATGGATTTGTATGCATGAATTCCTAGGGGATGTAGTTATTTACATAAGATCCCTACAGGATCAAGTCACCCAAAATTCCAGCCAAGATGGGGGAGGAGCTCATGATGCTTCACCCCTAAATTAGGAGCAATTAGCAGCTGAGAGCTACTGACTTATGGGATACACTAAATGAACTTTCAGGAGGGAGAGGAGGAGGAGATGAAATTGGGAGGTGGACACATGGGGAGAATTCTGTTAGAAATTAGAGAAATGGATTGTGGCTATGATTATATTTCATTGTACATATGTATGAAATTCTCTAGGAATTTATTTTGAAAGACAAAATGAACTGAAAACAATAAAAATAAAAAAGAAATGTCCGGCACAATGCAGGGAAGTGTATAATGTGGGCAAATGGAAATTGTTTTGTTTCTGTTGGGTTTTCCTCTGGGGGGAATCATCTGAAGATAACTTGCTCAACTCTTGCGCAGTGAAAGGGCTTATCACAGATACCTAATGGAAATCTGACAAGCATCACATTGTGGCCATGCATTATAGACCCCGCATATTCCAAGCATCTTGCACTAACTTAGCCACAAAAGTATTTTTGTAATTCGAACACTCTTCTGAAATCCAAATATGTAAACCAAATTTGTTCTCCTTCATTCTTTAATCTTGAAGAGCTATCCAAAAAATTTAGCAAATTTCCTTGGCCTCAATTTCTCTTTCTAAATCCCTAAGGTAGCTTATTTCTTAACTTGTTCAATTGCCTTCTGCCTGCGTGCATTGGCTCCTTCCCATCAATTCACAGATTGGCTACCTGACAACAGTTACAGGCCAGCTCTTCTACTTAGGAAACTACTGCCTTAGTGAACTTAGTAAATAACACCCTCGTGGACCAAGAGAGTTAGGAGAAGTTTCTAAGGCAGAGTCACGTCCCATCATAGGATGATTTGTGTCTTGGGAGACTGTCAAATCATAAATCAGTAACAAAACAGCAATTGAGCAAAGGGTCCAAGCAGAATCTGATACATGCAGAGACTACAGTATTATAGGGCCAAAATGTGAGAGGAAAGTATTGTTAACCAGGCCTATGACTGAGACAAGTCCATGTAAATTTAGCTTTCAGACCTTCTGCAAGTGAATAACGAGGAGATAGCAATCCAGTAACTCCCATGCTGCCATGTGCTGCTAGTCAGGAGCATTGGTTGTGTGAGATGAAGGGATAGTTTGGCTTAAAAATAAATTAAAAGAATATTGAGCTTACTTCACTAGTCTTATTGACATCCCCAGATTTATAAATCATACTGCCATTCATTGGTCTCTACAGAAACAAATAAGCAAAAGCTTATGATTTTCTATTTTGATTAACATAGTGTTTGTTAAGGCTGTTGACCAAGCATGAAACTCATTGCCAAACAAGACACAGTAATATAAAATAGAACAGATAATTCTCGCAGAACTGGGAGCTCAGAGAACGCTGTCTTTTCCCAGCACGTCCATGAGCGGGAGGTCATTACACTTACTCTAACTATGCCGTGTTCCCTCTAAACATTTGGAACTCCTCTTGTGGAATCGTCTTCAGAGCCTCTGGATCCTATTTCGTGCCAAGTCTTCATCCTTTGGGGTGGCGTGGGGGTGGGTGCCAGAAGAAGGGAGTCAATTTAATGATTTCTGGAAAGAGCCATAAGTCATCCAGAGGCTAATCTGGTAAATAATGTGATTGTATCCATTTGGGGGGAAAAAAAGGAAAGGAAAATGTCTGTATATCAAGTGTAGAGCCTGACTGGTTCTGTGGAAGGATTCCTTAAGGGCAGTCTTCCAAGCAGCACTGGCCTATGACTGACATTCTTTGCCTAAAATCTTCCAGAACCTTCCAAATGGGCTACTTTGGATATAGCGCAGAAGAGTAAACACTGACCAAGAACGTGGAATCAAATGAAGGTCCATCAGGTAAACACACTTTCTTGATGTGACCTAGAAAGAAAATATTTCGCTGTGCATAGGTTCCTTGTTCTTCTGCCTAGAGACTGACTCAGGACCCAACCATTGTTGATGGGCTACCATATACGCACTAGAATAAGGCAATATCAAATCTGACACAGCCATTTTCCAAATAAACTCTCTCTTCCCCTCACCAGGAAATTCAGGAATACATCTAAAACTCATAATTCATCTCCTTATAATTATTTATTTAATTGATTTAGTTATAAGTATATTTAAATCATTTTGTGTATCTATAAAGCACACCAGTATAAGTTTGAATAAGTATATTGTGTTATATTTCATATAAGTAGCTAATATTGTATTTGATACTTTTCCACTATGATAATCAATTTTATTCTAAGCCACAACATTAAGAAAGCTGTTTTCACTCCCTCTTTCTAAAGTTGCGTGTTCTCCGTGACCATCATGCAGCCACTTACGGTAATACTTGAAGAAGCAATCTTTAAAAGGCTCCCTTATAACAAGACCCATCTTGAATGCGAGGCCGTTCACCCAGTGAAAGAATAATTAAATATTTATTGAAGTTTGCCAGTTCTGCTTGGAAGCATCAGTAGCAACCCCCACTGTGGTTATATCAGACATCCCCTTGAAGAACTTTCTTACTCAAAATTAAACAGCAAACAAAACACTCCATGGCAGGAAATGATGAAAATAAGCCAATCCCTCCTTTCCAAAGGACTGATTTTGCAGGTACAATCTAACCCAGTGTTTTTTTCCTTTACAAATACACCTCATTTTTTATTCATCATTCTTACATAGTACACAGGTCCTCCACGTTGATATAGATATATTCACTCACTCATACTATATTCACTTATGTAGATAGACTTTAAATCAATGTACAATATGTATTTAAATATCTTGATGATCTGAGTTATTGATTTCAGGTGTAACTGCTGAGTATCTGAAAGCCTCAAATTTATAGTATTCTATGACAAGGAAAAAACTTGATACAAAATTAAAGTGAGAGAGCTTTGAACGCCAAATATGTTAATAACGTTCTCAAAGTCTCACGTTGCTAAAGTATATTAGTGAACTGGGGAAAATATTTAATTCAAGCATACCTGATCATTTTGAAGAGAGTCTTCAGAATTAGCACCTTAAAATAATTTTTGAAAATATGCATCTGGGCCATTATTCCTCCCTGCATTTAATATTTCTACTGCTGTCTAACCTGGTGTGTGGGTTACTTTTTATTGCCAACTAAACAAACAGAGACTGGAGAAGAGGGAATCTCAAATGAAGAATTGTCTTACTCAGATTGCTCTGTGGGCATATGTGGAGGACATTGTCTTGATTGCTACTTGATGTAGGAGGGCCCGGCCCACTGTGGGCGGTAACATTCCTAGGCAGGTGGTCCTGGATTGTATAAGAGAGCAGCTGAGCATAAGCCAGAGAGCAGGACAGCAAGCACCGTGTCTCCATGGTTTCTCCTTCCATTCCTGCTTGAGCTTCTGCCCTGACTTTGTTCAGCCACGGGCTGTGATCTGGTAGTCACGGTGCTTATCATGGCAACAGAAAACACAGTGGAACACCTGGCATTTAAGTGTACACAGTCCATGGTTTGCCTGTCGCTCCCCCAAACTGAGCATCATTCTGTGTTTTCATTTCCACTGAAAGAGCTAAGACTGACCACCACAGAAGTCAGAGTCCAGGGGGAGAAATTAAATAGAGAGGCGTGGAAGGGACAGAGATTTTGAATATGTTTGATTTTCTTTTGGCACACAGCAGGGTAAAAAAAAAAGACACAGCCCAAATGTTTGCCCCTGGAGAAGGGAACGTACACATTGGACTACAAAGCAAGTATCAAAAAGCTCTGCATTTGTGTTTGTGAAACAAAAACCAAACAACAGAAACTCACTGAAGGAGACCGGGACTAGGGAAGTCAGCCTGAAGGGCAGGAATTCGTTAGGTAAATAGTGCTGCCACTTTTACCAGGGCGTCATAAACACCTTGGCTATATGTTTTCAAAAGACTTTTGGCTTCCAAGTTCTGGCATCTCTCTCGATGTTGAACACCATCTAGGTTCACACTGTGTTTGCTGTTGGGGCTGAACCTAGGATTCTGGTCCTGAATGGGCCCCAGCCTTGGTGACTATTATTTGTTCAGAATAATCTCTGGTGTTGACTCCGTCAAAGGGACAGCTGTTTTCAGACTGCTTCCTGCCTTAGCAGCAGCCTGCCGGCCTCCGCATTTTGAGTGTAGAGATAAAGTAATGAGGGAGCCTTTCTGGGGACCGGGGAGAGAGCCCTGGTTTTCAATGTTCCTCCTGTTTTTGTTTCACAGGAATGATGGCTTTCGAGGTAATGACCCGCAGCCCGCTACTGGCTCAGCACACTGAACTGGAGCTCTGCAGAGAAACAGAACCAACACATAAAGAGATTTATAAGGTGCTGGCACGAAGTTCAGCAGCCTGAGGAGATCCACAATCTGCTGTCTGCAAGGCAAACAAGCAGGAAAGCAGATGGGGTGTCTGAAGGCCTGAGCGCTCAGAATGGATTCCAGTCCACATGTGCAGGTATAAGAAACCAGAGCAAGGGCAGGAGACTGGTGTCCCGATGGATGGCCACACAGTCAGACAAAGAGCAAATTCAACTCTCCCTGCCTTCTTGCTCTACTAGGCTCTCAAATGACAGGTTGTTGCCTACCCTGGTCTGCAGTACTCCAGTCCACCAACTCACATGCTAATTTCTCTGGAAACACATTGGAACACACACACACACACACACACACACACACACACACACACACACACACACAGAGAGA